AGTGTATGAAATCTTAGCACTTAAGGATATGCACGTTTCAGAGAAATTCTAAGAAGTCAAATTACTTTTTAAGGCTGAAGGATTAGTAAGGAAATAAATCACTTTGTCCAAATTTCACGAGAATCCATTTACTTCTGTGTTACAGCTATTAAATACTAGCTAGCCAAATCTACTCTTTGAAATACTCATCTTGCAAAGTGTTCAGAAAAAAAATAATAAATAGAGGCAATTTTAACTCTTTTTGTCAGATTTATTGTGGTATAAGTGACAAAATAAAATGTATAAATTTAAGATGTACAACATGATGCTTTAATATACATATACACTGTGAAATGATCACAGTCAAGCTAGTTAATAGACCCATCATTTCACATAGCTACCTTTGTGTGTGTGTATGGGGGGGGGGTACTTAAGATTTATCCTCTTAAAAAATTTCAAGTATACAGTAAGTGTTGTTCATTACAGCCACTCTGCTGTGCATTGGATCTCTAAACATAAGCATCTTGCAAAGTACTGAAACTTCGTACTCTCTGTCCAATATCTCCTTGTGTCTCCTACTCCCAACTGCAGCCCGTAAAACTGCCACTCCACTCTCAGCTTCTTGGAGTTCCATTATTTCAGATTCCACTAGTTTACTTTTAAAAGTTTATTGAAAACAAAATTAAAACATAGGTTTAGGTATGGGCTCTTAGCCCAGCAGTCTCATGCCATAGTGCCTGGGTTTGATATCCAGCTCTGATTCCAGACTTCGTGCTGATGCAGACCCTGAGAGGCAACAACTATTGGCTCAAATAATTGGGTTCCTGCTCACACATATGGGAGGCCTGAATCCGGCTCCTGGTTCCCAGACTTTATCCAGTCCATTGGAGGCATCCGGAGAGTGAATCAGTAGAAGAGTTCTCTCTCTCTCTCTCTCTCTCTCTCTCTCTCTCCCCCCCCTCCTTCCCTCCCTCTATTTCCCTCTTTCTCTCCCTCTCTCTATTTCCCTCTCTTTCTCTCTTTCCCCCTCACTGCCTTTCCTTTTCCCTGTCCCTCTCTCTCTCAAATAAACAAGCTAAATAATTTTTAAAAAAGATAAACTATATATATATAATGAAAACTCCCCCATATATATATATATACACATATACCTATATATATGATTATACGTAAGTTTATTTTAGTGCAAAACAATTTTGAGATCAAACATAAAAAGGGTCTTCAAGATATTCATAGGAAATGTGCATTATGAAAAAACTGTCTGGATTCCAAAGCTGTTTTGCACCAAAATAAACTTATCTTTTAATGCCATTCTTCCATGAACTTTTCAGAGAGCCTCATCTGAGGTCATCTAGCACTTGGCTTTCTGCCCTATCTTTTCATCGTTCATCTATCAAGCACATGGAGCTATGTATGGTGAACCTAGCCAAAAGCTCAAAAGAGATTCTGCCCCATGATCAGAACTCTAGGCTCAAGCCAATGAGAAACAAAAGGGAATGGACAATTTCTTCCTTCCTGTTTAAACGCTGTAAGCACATTTGTTTGGAAAGACTGCCCTGCTATTTTCTTTCCAAAGTATGTCAGAGTGGTTTGGGGGAGGGTGGGAAGATAGGGCAGCAGGCACAGTTGTTATTGTACCTCCGAGAGAAGGCAAGGGGACAAAGAATGGGAAACCTCGTCCCATGAATGCTGCGCTGTCAGCCAACACCAGCAGCACAAGGAACGCTGGTGACACCTCAGTCCAGAGGAGGAAAAACTATAGCCCAAAAGAAAATCTGCAAAGGAGATGTATAATTTAGCTCCACCGACTTGTTTTCTGACACGTAGCCTTGAAAAGAACAATTTTACCTCAGAAACTTGGCAGATACAAACTGATTTTTTTGATAAGTTATAACGTGCATTTTACTAAATGCATGAAGAGAGAGAAAGGCCAGGTATCCCAAGAAGGGGAGGTTGTCAGGTTTCTCGTTTCTGTGTCATTTTTGTTTAGTCGGTCAAATGAAAATCCAAAACCATATAATTAGATGGTTGTTTATACATGATTAAGCATGAGCTCATTGGACCCTACATGCCAAAAAGTCAGAGATGTGGTTAAAGGCAAGAAGGAACTATTAATAAAAGGAAATAAAGCTGTAATACATTTTTCACTTATGAATAAAAATAATTCAAAGGTCTCTGGCTGGAAAAAGAAAAAAAAATCAACCATGAGTAGGGGCAAGAAACCAGATAATTTTATAAATGGCTAGAATTCATGAGATATAAAATATAAACTAATGGTATGAAAAAGGTTTTTCTCCTCTCTGCAAATCTTCTTATGCCTCTCATAAACATAACTCAAAATGAGAAGATAACAAAACTTACCTGTATTCTATTGCTCTAGAACTGTGCTAGGAAGTAGTTAAGCAAGAACACATTGTGCATTTACAAGTTACTTGTTCTTCAGCTCCTCTGCAGAAACCAGTAGCTGTCACCTCCATTTAAAAAAGGCAGTGTCCTTTTGTCTTCTACAACTGCAGACTTCTCTGCCGTAAATGAAGTAAGCCCGATGAAATCAAGGTTTACCTGAGGATGCCCTGGAGCATCTGCCACCTGAGACTGGAGTGCTGTAAAGTGGCGCATCCACTGCTCTTAGAACCAAACACCAGGCTATGGGTGAGGTCAGTGGCAAGACTTTGAGATGACAGACAATGAACTGATCCAGGATCAGCCTACTTAGTCCTCCTTGGCTAAGGATTGCAAGGCTGAAGGCTCCCCTTACTGGGAGTATACACAAATTCAGGGCACCTCAGAATGCTACCAGGGCAAAGGAAAAAGTAACCCCGGAAGTGGTTCAACTGTGTGTTATTATCTACAACCAAATAACTCTTTGGGTCACCAACGATATGATTAGGACCTCTGCACATAACTGCTAAGAGTACACAATAGGACCACTGATATGTACTAAAACTAAAACTAAAAACAAGGAAAGCCCACAGGAAATCCAATACACAGTCTTAAGAACAAAGTTGCCGGCGCCACAGCTCACTTGACTAATCCTCCGCCTGTGGCGCCGGCACCCTGGGTTCTAGTCCCAGTCGGGGCACCGGATTCTGTCCCGGTTGCTCCTCTTCCAGCCCAGCTCTCTGCTATGGCCCGGGGAAGGCAGTGGAGGATGGCCCAAGTCCTTGGGCCCTGCACCCGCACTGGAGACCAGGAGGAAGCACCTTGACTCCTGGCTTCGGATCGGCACAGCGCGCCAGCCGTGGCGGCCATTAGGGGAGTGAACCAATGGAAAAGGAAGACCTTTCTCTCTGTCTCTCTCTCTCTCTCACTAACTCTGCCTGTCAAAAAAAAAAAAAAAAAGAGCTAACATGGATCTCAGAATGCTCAAAACATCCATAATGCCTAGAAGCATATGTTCTGACTCTTACAGCCTGACCCTCAGAACAATGTCTCCAAGTCACAGCAACAGCTAGGAGGCCCTCCACTCTCAAAGTTCCTCTCCCTTCTCCCTCCCTCTCCCTTCCTTCTCTCTTCCTTTCTTGCCACTCCCCTCTTCCTATCCCTGTCCTGCAGCATCTGCCAGAGCAGCCTTCAGTCATGTACACACCTGCTCACTGGAATTTAAACAGAATATATTTCACTTAAATCTACATCATAAAGTACAAAGTAGAGAAACTCCTGCAAAGCTCATTTCCAAAAACTAAGATGATCACAGTGAGCACACATGTGAAAAGGGATAGACAACTGAGACAAAACACAATACTCAGTGAGCAACCTGAACCTACAAAACCCTACATGTTACCTACATGTCCTTCATGAAACAGGCACTTTGTTCTGAAGATACGTTTTAATTATTGACTTAATTTGATCAAATTTTCAGTTCTTAACATAGTCCCCTCATGCCAGAAATCTCCTAAAGCTGAGGGGAAAATAGACTTTCATAAAACAAGTTCCTTCCGTGCCAGAAAGTCATGATTTCTCTTTTTGTCTTCACCGTTAACAGGGAGAAACGACTCACTAAATTAATAAGTATTGATTACTTGAAATAGTTTAATGTCTACTATAGTTCCTGATAAGAAATGTGATAATTTATTCCTAAACAATGTGCGGCATGTGAGTCAGAACCGTTTTTCATCAATAATTAATATTAATAATTAACAAGTATAAACAACAAAAATACCTCTTGGAACTGTTTCAGTCTGGCCCTTTCCTCATTCCACAGGCTGCCTACTGCCCCTCTTTACCCTCCATGTGGGGTTAATAACTAAACTTCCCTCATCTCTGACATGCAACACTACCCAGCAGCAATCTTCCCAAGAATGCACTCACAAATACGCAAGATTGAAAAGAAGTCTTATCAAAGTCACCTGTACATGGCAAGCAAATGTCTACCCTGGCACCTGCAGGGACAATTCCCTTAACAGCAAATTCAGTTCTTCTCCAGGAAGGACAGAACCCTGAAGAAATTTCACCTCAAGATACCTATTCTTCTACCTAAACATCTTTAATCCAAGGATTAGCCTGGTAACAAAAATCGAACAGTCCTCTAGACAAACACAGCAAAAGGGACAGACAATGCCAGAGCTGTTCATTTAAAACAGGCCAGACCCAACGTACCAGGATGTTTTGCAGTTTTAGGGGGTACATGGTGATGTTTCCACACACATGCACCCAGGATTTTCCTTGGCACTCCATCTGAACAGCATTCTCTTCGACTTTATAAAACCACACTGCAGTCCTTCCTCCTTTTTGATTCTCTGCCCAACAGCACCCTGAGATGGCTTTAGATCTCATACCTAATTAAAGGCACTTTACCAGCTGTCTCTTGTTTTCTAGCCATGCTGCCCTAGCTCCTGATACTTACAGTCTTAAACCCATTGCAATGAATGTCCTTCAGCCGTTCAATGCTTCACCCAAATGAACTGAACATCATGCAGGTAAACATCTTTAAAAGTTTTGCAAGCCCACCATGGTGCTCTGTTTTAATTTCCTGCTCCAAGTACAAATTCTCCAATTCCTAATCCCCTTCCTCCACATACCTCCATTCCATACATTACCATTCTTGTGGAAAAATGATCAGAATCATCAGCAAATGCCCCTCCTGCTTATAATACTCATGTCCCCAGGCTGCTCAGCCACTGACTCTGCAAGTTGTTAGGAGTAAGTCCTGGCTCCCTGGAGCTTCCATAGGCAGGGTCTGGTAGGTTACACGTGTGGGTATAGAGGTGTTTACCTCTGCTCTTCGCTGGGGGCCTTGCACAGCAGTGCCGAGTACTTTGTATACATTTCCAGGGCTACCTGCTCTGTGGTTTCATAAATTACAGGCAGCAGGAACATTCAGGGACTGCTAGGACATTCAGCACAGGCTGGCATGCAGAGAGGAAAGCATCTGACAAATGCAGCCCAAGAAACAATGTCTCCCTTCAAGTGGAACTTCGGCTGGTGGAGGCAGCCAGGGCTGGCTGGTGTGAACAATACCGGGCAGGTCATTAACTTGCCTGGGTCACAGCAGACGGCGATGAGCTCACCCCACCTTTCTGGAAAGGCGCTATTTTAGCTGCTGAGTTTATACAAATAAAACCCATAATTTTCTAATGGCTAAACTAGGAATGTGTTCAAAAATAGCTCCAAAACCCTGCAGACGACACAGGGGGGATTCACAGAGGTGCGTCTAAGACTGTTGTTCAAGTTTGTGCTCATCTCTGAAAAAAGCCACGTGTGTAGTACGTTGAAAATGCGCAACCACATAAGCAAACCAGGCTTGTTCTTTTGAAGCCAATTGGTTACCACCTTATTCTATTTCTCCCTTCTCCTTTTTCCCTTTTGCATGGGATAGAGCAAGTTAGTCGTTAACTACACAAAAGAGTTAACTTTTAACTTGAACACTAGGAATGTTTCAGCTCTCAATCCTTCCTCCCTTTTTCTTATTATAGCACAACCACCTTCAGGAGAACTCTCCAGATCCCTGATCCTGGATGAGATCTGGCTGCAATATTTTCCTTGCCCCAATCACAGGAGGCTTCACTCCAGCCCTAATGCACCACACCACAGCCCCTCTCTGGGCAGCCTGCAGTCTCTGGCCACCACTTGCAACGCTCCTCCACCCATAGCTGCCATCCTCCTATGGTCACGGACCAGCTCCAAGGCCAATGCCAACTTGAAACAAACCTTCCAGATTCCCGCCTACAACTGTGCCATGCTTTAGTCCTCCTCTCAACACCCAGCTGGTGTGAACTGCGCATATTTTTGTGTTACTAACCCCTTCTTTCACCTTAAGTCCCTGCAGTTTACTTTTCTCCCGTTAACTGGCTGTTTCCACCCTACTGCTCACCCACAGAGCACCAGGCCACAGCCACCCGCAGCAGGCAGACCCTCATTCAATGTCTTCGGAGAAGCAAAGCCCCCAGCACACCTGTACCGTGTTTGTAGGGCCGCTTTCCATAGGAAGCTGAGGGAAAGGCTAGAGGGGGAACATGACTTTATTATTTAACATGAGGGGAAATATAAATAAATAGAAGAGGGAGATTGCTGAGAGGCCCCGGGGGTTGGAGTGGTGTGGTGGGAGCTGCCTCTTTCTCGCTGTCCTGGCCATTCCTACTCAACTCTCTCCCCCTCATTGCACACGCAGCTCCTCCCTATCCATGCAGCCCTTGCCTAAGTGACTTGTCACCTGTTCCATGAAGCCCCTCATGGAAACAAGAATATAGCGAAGCCGCTTCTCCTCTGACCCATCTTAGCTATTCATGAGCACCCCCAAACAAGCACAGAGGTCACTGAGCTATTGACTTGTAATCACACTGGCTTTCCAAGAACTGAGACTATCACAACCACTGCTACTACTGCTACTATAACAACTCAACTAGACAGGAAACATAAAATGAGGAGCAAGCATTTGGCCTAACGGGTGAGACACAAGTTGAGGGCACCCAGGTCTCACGTTAGAGTGCCTGCATTCAATAGCAGGCTCTGGCTCCTGATTCCAGCTTCCCACTTATGTCGACCCTGAAAAGCAGCGGTGATAGCTCAAGTAGCTGTCATTCACACCTTCTGGTTCCTGGCTTCTGTCCCCAGTCACTGCAGGCATTGGAGGAGGGAATACAAGAATGGGAATACTCTCTATCTCCCTCATAAATAAATCAATAGATCTATCATAATATAGAGCTAACATTAATGGAAGGCTTACTTGGTACCAGAGGCAGCTGCCTGGCTCTGTATCTAGATTAACACACTCAGCTCATGTAACCCTGATTATTACCATCCCATTTCATAGTGGAGGTTTAAGTTCAGAAAACACAGCAACTTACTAAGAATGCAGCTTCAAACCCAGGTAGTCTAACCCAAAGAATGCACATGGCTATCTATAAGCTTGCAGACTTTCAATAGCACTCTTCACATGACTGGACAAATGGTCCTAAATGGAGAGAATTCAAGGACAACTGAAAACCCATTCCTCTCCCAAAACTGAAACAAACACTCATTCTGAGTCTCCAACATCTTGGCTTCCACACACAGGCAACGGTCAGGAATCACACCTTATTTTATTCTGTGTCAGCATCCTCAGTGGTATTGGGCATGCAACCACAAACAGAAGATGCTCATCTAGCCCTTTTAGTAGTGGTTATATGTCTTTACCAGTACCCTTCTTACTTTCAGGAATTTGGGGGCGTAACATCAATTGTTCATTCACTCATTCAACCAAGTGCTTGGGGTACAGCAAGTGAAACAGAGAACAGAGAATCAAAGCATAAAATGATGTCTGGCAAAATAAATTTAAAAAGGTGTTGGAACACAGACATGGTGGTGGTGATATTTAGGAACAAGTTATGAAAAAGCTCACCTGCATCAATCTTACTAATAATAGAGAGGATTCATACTTTTACAACTTATTCGACAGTCTCGAGGGCACACAATTATCAGGATATATGTTAGGAATGTCAGAACATGGTGCCCATGTAAACACACACACATGCATACAAACACAGATGAACACAAAAACAGTGCAATGTATATGGAAAATAAGATGCACATACTTGATGCCTTGCAGGATGCATCTTCAATGCAGATCCCACATTTCTTAGGGCCCTTCTCTACTAAAAAGCAACGTTATCATGATATAAATAAACCTAAAAGGGGTCTTTTCTAAAGCTGTGCCTCACAAGCTCAAATTTTCATCTTACAAATCTGCATTGTCCTAAAAGCATAATCTCACCAGCCACTGACTGGTCCAGACAAACAGCTGTTCCCGCTTTCACTATACAATAAAAATACTGAAATAAGGGGGAGATAAATGTGGATGTAGGGGTGAGCAAGGTCATTGGTATGGAGGCAAGAGGAGTCTACGTCAGAGCAAGATCTCAAGGCCAGGAGGCCAAATCGGGTCTGTGATTCTGTATCTGTATGAACCTGGCCAAATCACTTGCACTGGGACAGTGAGATCAGAAAGGAAACTATCTAGCACCTGACCTGATGCAAACCAGATGCTCAATAAATGTTAATGCCTTTTTCCACCTGCAGCTCACATCTGTAAACCTTTCATCTCTCATAATCTACAAGACTACCTTCAAACCAGAGCAGATGATGAAAACATTCCCAGGCATCCCTCACACGAAAACACGTGTCCCTGCTCCCACCATACTTTGAATTCATAAAGGGCTATGGCTAGAAGGACTATTAGATATCATGGCGAGGCAGCATTGTGGCACAGAGGGTTAAGCCGCCACCTGCAACACCAGCATCCCATACTGGAGCACCAGTTCAAGTCCCACCTACTCTGCTTCTGATGCAGAGAGGCAAACTGACTTTCCCCCAGTCACACAGCTACTCCAAGCACTGACGCACCCAACCAAACCCACATTCCATTGTATCCTATCTTTTCGGCTGTCATTTAAATAATGCTTAAATCTGCAAATATCTCTGAGGCAGTTAAAAAACGTGTTTCCCTTTCAAAATAGACAGCAGACTGTAGAACCCTCTGCATGGGAAGCCACGGGTTTTAAACCATGGCATTTATGAAGCGAGGAGGAACTGGCAGAGAAAAAAGGTGAGCACAGAGGAGGGTTGAGCACGGGAAGGGACACAGGGACCTCTAACTCTACAACTGGGCTTCAAGAGCAGTTTTATTTCAGTCTACAAATTGTATCTGAAAACGCCCCCAGAAAGATTTCTCTCTTCCCTTTGTCTTTGAGCTCAGAGGATACAAAAGCCAGCACTCCCCCAGATCAGGCAAAACGTATGAATTTTCCAAAGAAATGAGAAATTAGATTGCTTAACTTCAGCATCTTAAAAGAAAGGTGCCTATTTCCTTAAATCTTGGGTTTAGTAGATACGACTGAAGACAGAACCACAGATTTGGTAGAACCCGGGCCTGCTTATTCATCTGCAGATGTAAATGCACCACAGAAGCAAAGCAGAGGCTACTTAGGAACATCAAGCACCTTGCTAAAGAAAAGGAAGAAAGCAGTCTAATTTCAGCAATCAAACTTGACAGCATAATTCTTTACAAAGATTCGCATCTCAAGGAAAGTTTACAAGCAGCAAGTGAGGCTAGAAGGCTATTATTTGCTGGCATAATAATAATTGCAGAACAATTGTCCAATTAGCAGTTAGGAACTAAGGGAATTCCATTGCATTGTGGCCTTACTTCCTTTGTCATGGTTTTCTAAAGAAAAATGCTGCCTTCAGGAGTCTGAAATAATGAGAGGGCTCTTCATCATTGCAATGAGTTTGGATGGAGTCCCTGTGGCACAGGGATCTCGCCTGGTAATGAAGCGTAATAATCATCTGTTCCCATTTATACCTGCTAGTACCCCCTCCGCATAGAGGAACTCCGGCTGAAAACCCTCAGGAAAGACAACTTTCGGAGGTGACAGAAAGAGGGGCCCTTAGGGTTAAGACTCTCAGTCCTCCTTGGAATGAATCTTACCTCTAGACCTTTAAAAAAAAAAAGAAAGAAAATATCAAAGTGTCATATAAATTCAATTCTGTTCAACAATTGTTTATAGGATGCATGGTTCAGGTGGTCTTGTATCAACAAATCAGAATCTCAGATCGGCCCCCGGCCTCCTATCTCACATAGCAGCAAGTAAGCAACACAATTTTCCCCCATTGCATTCAAACCCCTATTAGTTGGCACTCAACAGCTAGTGGGAGTTTTGCTTCCTCCAACACCACCCAACCATGAGGGATGTGTGAGCCTCAAGAAAGCAGATGCTACCACGGGAAGTTTTCTACAAGTCAAAGGGGACTGGGAACACTTTGTGAAGCAGACATGGAATGGAAGGGGAGGGGATGGAAGAGAAGTGGTGTAAGGGCATTTCCAACTCTGTAACATTACAAAGGCCTTCAACATAAAGTCAAGGCTCACAATTTTATATAAATTAGGACTCACTCACCGCCCTAATCTAAAAGCTATATTTTTTGCTGCTTTCAATTCTTTGCTCCAACATTAACCAAGAGACAAAAGGCAGGTAAATTACCTTCTCTAGGTACCAGATTGATCATCTACTGCAATGAAGGTTAGGGAGTAGATAATCTCTTAAATCCTTTTAAGCTCAAACACTTCCTAAGTAAACATCTGGTTTATCCCTCCTCCCTTTTCTTATTTATCAAATTAAATATCAAAATTTCTGTCTACATGGAGCAGGAGTTTGGTGTGGCAGTTAAAATGCTGTTTGGGACATCCATACCCCATATCACAGTGAATGGGCTCTAGTCCCAGCCCTGCTGCTGATTCTACTTTCTGCGAATGCACATCTGGGGGGCAGCAGGTGATGGATTAGATATGTGGGTTCCTGTCATCCACATGGGAGATTCAGGCTGAGATCCAGAATTTGGCTTCAGCCTGGCCCAACCCTAGATATTGCAGGCATTTGCAGAGTGAACCAGTGAATAAGATACCTCTCCTATCTCTCTCTCTTTCTATCCCTCTACCTTTCAAATAAATAAAATTAAGAATTAACATAATTTTTAAATAAAAAATTTTATCTAACTACATATTTCAACAGAATGTGCTAAAAATTACTACAGAGGAATAAGGTATAAGACACTACAAATATGACAAAAGCAATAAGTTTCCTATTTAATACCAATTATGAATTTCAAAATTTAATGAAAAAAATTTTAATTAAAAATTCCTTAGAATAGTATGTACTATGAAGAAAATTACATTCTTGGGCTTTGCACTGTGGTGTAGAGGGTAAAACTGCCGCCTGCAGTGCTAGCATCCCATATGGGGCCCAGTTTGAGTACCAGCTACTCCACTTCCCATCCAGCTCTCTGGTATGGCCTGGGAAAGCAATGGAAGATGGTCTAAATCCTTGGGCCCCTGCACCCATGTGGGAGACCCTGAGGAGGATCCTGGCTCCTGGCTTTGGATCGGTGCAGCTCTGGTCACTGTGGCCAATTGGGGAGTGTACCAGCAGATGGAAGACCTCTCTCTGCCTCTGCCTCTCTGAAACTTCGCCTTTCAAATAAATAAATAAATCTTTAAAAAAAAAGTTTATTGAAAGTATAATTAAAAGATAAATTTATTTTAAAAAAGAAAACTATATTCTTTGCTGGATACAGGAATAAAGATATGAGGGTACTTCAAAAAATCTATGGAAAATGGAATTAAAAATAAGTTTATTTTACTGCAAAAAATTTTTGACACCCATGCATACGAGGAGTCTTCAACAAGTTTATGGAAATGCCTATTACGAAACAGTAAGTACAGATTTCAAATAATTTTGCGCCAAACTGAACTTACATTTAATTTCATTTTCCTATTAATCTTTTGACATACCATTCTATGTACACATTATTTTGTAAAAAAAAAAAAACAACTAAATATATTAAGTATGTTGATTTTTTCTTATAAGTTCAATGCATTTCTCTGTGCATCACTGACATTCTGTACCCATAATTCTTCATTGTGTGTGGGGGAGGGGCAGGGTGCTCTATGTGTTTTAATATGTTGAACAGCATCTCTAGCCTCTGCCCACCAGATGCCAGCAGCACCTGCAGCTGTGATAATTCAAACGACACTCGGTCTAGACACTGCCGAAGGAGACAACACCACTCAGATAAGAGAACCAAGGATTCTCTTGCAAGGTCCTGAGGGATCTTTCCTCATCCACTACCTTGATAATGAGATTCTAAAGTCTACCTGAAAGAATAAACTTGTACAAAATCAAAGGCCTTGAAAAAGAAAACATACTATAAATCTATGAAAATAAAAACTGTAGGGCCGGCGCCACGGCTCAATAGGCTAATCCTCCGCCTGTGGTGCCGGCACCCCAGGTTCTAGTCCCGGTTGGGGCGCCAGTTCTGTCCTGGTTGCTCCTCTTCCAGTCCAGCTCTCTGCTGTGGCCCAGGAGTGCAGTGGAGGATGGCCTAAGTCCCTGGGCCCTGCACACACATGGGAGACCAGGAGGAAGCGCCTGGCTCCTGGCTTCGGATCAGTGTGGTGCACCGGCCGCAGCAGCCACTGGAGGGTGAACCAACGGAAAAAGGAAGACCTTTCTCTCTGTCTCTCTGTCTTTCTTTCTCTCTCACTGTCCACTCTGCCTGTCAAAAAAAAAAAAAAAAAAAAAAAAAAAAACTGTAGAAACAGAACAGGGCATAAGATCACCTGAAAATCAGCACCTGAGGGCATCAGCAGTGAGTGGGGGGAAAGGAAGTAGATGAATGGGTTGTGGGGCAACTCTTCATTACAATTTGGAGGTAATGAAAGCTAAGTCCTTACTCACATTACATATGTTCTGATTATCTACTGCTACACTGCAAATCACCCCACACTCAGCATCCTGAAAACAACTGCTTACTCTCCTTTGTGGTTCCAGGAATGGATGGGGCTCAACAGGACATACTTCACACAGGGTCTCTCATGTGTCAGGGCTGACGCCGGCTGGGAGCTGGGGACTCAGCTGAGGCTGTCTCTGCACACAGCCTGGGCTTCTCCCAGCATGACAGCTGCCTTCCAAGAGACAGAAGGAGGACAGGGCTTCCGGACCAGCTAAGGAAGCACAGCATGATTTCTGCAAGGTAATACTGACCAAACCAGGCTGGGGACTGGAAACGAGAGTCTGCCTCTTGACAAGGGAAAGGCAAAGTCAGAGCACATGGAATGGGAGCTAGGGTATCAGTCCCCACTGGAAAATACAATCAGCCATATATACCACAGAGAAACAAGGAACAAAATATTAAAAACAAAGTACAAAACAACTAAAAGAAAACACATTTGAATTGTTTAATTTTAGAATGCAGATGACAAAGATACACAGATATAACTACAAAAACATTTTAGGTCAAAAAGTACTTTACACTGAGAAAACAAACAAAAGACCAGCATTTGATGTAACAGAGAGTTAAAAGACTTAATACGTTAAAGGCCTTATAAACCAATAACAAAATGCAAATATTCCTGGCATGGGAGAGGGTGGGAAGCAAAGGACATACAGTTTTACAAAAGAAGAATCCAATAGATGAGATATAAAATAGAAACTCAATATTCTGCCACTAGGTTGAGTTGAGAGGGTAATTATGTAACACAAAATTTGGAGGAAGCAATTTGGCAATGTGACAAGGGTATTTAAAATTGTCATTTGATGTAATAATGCACACTAAGGAAATATTAGAGGTCTAGACCACAATGTTTTGAAGATTTTTATGATAATACAATTTTAATAAAAAAGAAAGAAATGTGATTAAAGAACCTACAGTGTTCTTTTCACACATAAAAAATTTCTTTGATGCAGTGGGTTAAGTTGCTACTGTGATGCAGGCATCCCATATCAGAGGAATGGTTCGAATCCTGCCTGCTCCACTTCTGATTCAGCTCCCTGCTAATGTACCTGTGAAAGCAGATGATAGCTCATGTACTTGGGTCTCTGCTAGGTCAGACACCAGGAAGAAGCTCCTGGCTCCTGGCTTTGGCCTGGTCCAATCTGACTGCAGAGGCCATTTGCATAGTGAACCAGTGGACATAAGGAAGATCTCCCTTCTTCTGTCTCTCCCTCTCTGTCCCTCTGCCTTTCAAATAAATCAACAAATAAGTAAATAAAATCTTTTTTTAAAAAAATAAAATCTTTGCTATATTTAGAAATATCTTCAAAGACTATGAAACTACACTGGGAAAAATTCTTAACAAAAGAAAATATGGAAAAAGAAAATATAAAACTTAATTCAGAGTAGAATCACAAGATAAATACACTTACATATTTGTCACCTAAAATATTAAAAATTGATGTCAGTATCAGTAAAATATGGTATATGACTTTATTTTATTCTTTGTTTTTTGTGTTTATGATTTTTTTCTTCAGTAATCCATATACTTAGAAAAGAGACTATTTAAAGAAAAAATACTGATACTGATGGGCAAAAAACTAAAAAGGACACGTTACTAACGTACTGCCAAACATTTAAAAAAAAAAGTGAGTTACAAAACAGGAGAACAAGCATGATTGCGCTCCCAGTGACATCAGCGGCTGACTAAACCTGGAGCCACTGACCCATGACACGGCCCATTTGCTCAGCAACCAAGCCACTTTCCCAGGCTCATGACCTGGCCACGGCCTAGATTCATGTACAGTTGTTCAATGTGACCGCTTTATAAACTTCTCTTTTTCCCCCTTCTGATATTGAGCCCATTTGTTTTCTTTGTTGAGCTCAAAATCTTTGTCTTCATGGGCCTTTCAAGTGATGAAATATTTAGGGGAAAAAAGTGTACTCACCTACAGGACAACATCAGCCACCTGTAATGTTTTAACCAAAATCCACCCTGAATTTCAGAGGGCCCTGGTCATGTGCAGCTCCTATTGTTCCTTTAAATGGAGGAACCGTTGAGTATAGCAATTCCCTGGTCTCTTGGTTCTCAAACTCTGGCATGCACCAGAATTCCCTAGAAGAGACTGCAGAAACGTGAACTGCTGCTCCACTCCAGGGTTTCGAGTCAGGGGGTGGGGTGCAACCCAAGAATCTGCATTTCTGATATTTTCCCAGATGATGTTGATGCTGCAGTTTGGGGCCCCCCAACTTTGAAAAACACTGCCTAACAAGCTCCTATGAACAAGCATAAGCATCATATTTTTGCATGCTACTGCTACTCATTATCCTGTTCCATTGAGAACATACAAGTATGCTTGGATTTTTTGCACTAAAATAAATTTATCTTTTAATTCCATTTTCTACCAACCTTTTGAAGTATCTTCATATTATCTGGCATCTGCTAACATGTTTAATCATCTATAACCCAAACTAATCCCAGGACTCCTCACCCCAGTTTCAGATGTAGTAAGCAGTACGTTCAAAACGTGACTCCCAGAACAGATGAAAAAAAATCACCTCATTTGCTGTCACTCTCTGCCACTCCTTGATTGACAACTCCCAGACACTTGAGCAATCCTGAAGCCTTCCTTCACTTTTCCTCCCTCCCCAACATCCCCATAGAAGTAAGGTTCTTCCCTCCCTCCTTCCTCTCTTCTCTCTCTTCTTCAGTTTGAACCCCTTCCAACACACTCTCCTCTATTCCCATTCCTGGATTGCTTCCTAACTGGTTTATTACACCCTCTAAAATGCAAATTGGGGTGGGTACCCTAAAGAACCATAAGGCGTCTTTATTTTAAGGTCAATACTAAATTATTGCTTAGTGAGCAAGAACAAGAAGCACTCAAATGAGCTGTAACATTTTTGTCCCTGGTACACACCCACCTGTCCATCCCTTTATCCAATCCATACATTCTTACCAGGTGCTTCCTGTTTACCAGACCTATATTAGGTATTAGAGAACTTAGAAACAAAGCAGGGTGGGGGTGGGGGAGGTCAGGTGAGAGGTCAGTGAGGCAGAGATGCTTCATGGATAAGCAGACTGTCTGGCCTGAGTGGTGAGTTCAAACCTGGATTTTATGATCCACTAACTGGTAGGTATTTGAAATGTTTTCTTTCAAATTCCATTCCTTTAATTTCACCATTAAAACGTACATGTCATTGTTAAGTACAGCCCCAAAGTTGCCCAAGGTCATTATACCTAAGTGTGAATAAGTTTCATGCCCTTATCTGCTATCTTAGAGAAAGAACAGAGACATCTTTTAAGGAAGAAAAGGTTTTAGGCTGTGAGCTAGGAAGTATCTGAAACAAACTGCATCCTTCCCAGGGTCCCTGGAAAGCATTCTTGCCCATCCATGCCAGACAATGGCCTGGAAGCACCGTGCCTGGACCAACAGCATTGGCATCACCAGAACACCTGTTAGAAATTCAAGTTCTCAGGCTCCACCCTAGAACTTCTGAATTAGATCACAGATGCTGGGGCCAGTGCACTGGCATTTTTGTGGGCTTTATGAGAGCTACTGATGCACATTCAAGTTTAAGGAGCACTACACAGGCTAATGTGAATCACAGTACCTGCTGCTCTATCAGCAATACAGGTCTTAATTGGTCAGACTCCTGTGTTCTGTATCATATCATTTTCAGAAAAGTACGTACAGGAATTACCCATTGCTCTTTGACATCTGGACTCTATTGCAAGGGGATAGAGCCTGGGGACCTGTAGTTAAGGGAATGAAACGCTGTCTGAAAAGGAAGATGGCCATTGATAGAGGTCAACGAGAACAGCTTTGTCAGGGTAAGCCCTCTGCCTCCCAAACTGGAGTGACTTCGAAATGACCGCCAAAGCAGGACTGGCTTTGCCTGCTTTTGAAAATTCTCAGAGCTCTCAACAGGGCATGTTCTCACATGCAGTGGAAAAAGCCCGCACAAATCCCTGCTGCACAATGAAATGTTCATCTCATGTTATTTAGCATCATTGGCCT